CCTTCTCTTCTCCAAGCTAAACAAGCCCAGTTCCCTCAACCTTTCTTCATAGGAGAGGTGCTCCAGCCCTCTGATCATCTTAGTGGCCCTCCTCTGGACCTGTTCCAAGAGTGCCACGTCTTTCTTGTGCTGGGGACCCCAGGCCTGGACACAGTACTCCAGATGGGGCCTCACTAGAGCAGAGTAGAGGGGCACAATCACCTCCCTCTCCCTGCTGGCCACCCCTTTTTTAATGCAGCCCAGGACATCGTTGGCCTTCCGGGCTGCAGGCGCACACTGATGGTTCATGTCCAGCTTCTTGTCCACCAGCCAGGACCCCCAAGTCGTTCTCCACGGGGCTGCTCTCAAGGAGTTCTTCTCCCAGTCTATATGAGCACCTGGGATTGCCCTGGCCCAAGTACAACACCTTGCACTTGGCCTTGTTGAACCTCATTAGGTTCTCATGGGCCCACTTCTCCAGCCTGTCCAGGTCCCTCTGGATGGCATCCCTTCCCTCCGTTGTATCAACTGCACCACTCAGCTTGGAGTTGTCTACAAATTTGCTGAGGCTGCACTCGATTCCCTCATCTGTGTTGTTGATAAAGATGTTGAAGAGCACTGGTCCCAAGACAGACCCTTGAGGGACACCACTTGTGACCAGCCTCCATCCAGACACAGAGCCATTGACTACAACCCTTTGTCTGCAACCAGCCAACCAATTCTTTATCCATTGAACAGGTGAAGTAAGGTCATTCTCAGGCCTTAAAAGGACTTCCCTGAATTACGTCTCCCATATTGCCACCAGCTGTGAAAGCTGAAAGGGTGATGGTTCTCTCAACTGGGAACTCCAAGTCTCTCATTGAATGAAACTGTTTTACATAAGAAATCTTTTCTTCGCCAGGCTAGTGAAAGCAAACTGGCAGGGCTTTGTATCCAGGGTTTGATGTTTTCACTTATCTGTAGTTCCAAAACCATGCCTATTGCATGTACTCCAAAACCCCAAGTGTGTCTTCTGGCTATTCAGGAATGTTTTATTTGAGAAAATCATAGTGAACAGCTCTTTCTGCACAGAGGATCATTGCAGCTGGTTCCCAGGAGGTGGGCTGAAGAGTTCCCAGTAAACCAGGCCAGCAGAGCCACACCGCAGGGCAGACACCGGAGAAAGAGCAGCACCACGCACGGAGGTGCGGTCAGTCGGTAATCCTATAGATCACTGTGCTGGATTTTTTTGGAACAGCCTGTCAGTGATGGGATGGCAGGTATGACTTTACCAGTGCCTCCAGCTAGCGTGAGTACATCTGAAATTCTCATTCCATTGCTCCCTAGGCCATAGCAAACATGGCGTGTGATCTATCTAAATGATGTTTTTCTGCCAAGAAGAAGATTTTGTTGCCCCTTCACCTCATCCACCCCTGAGGCTGGATGCTGCCATTGCAGAAATGAGAATGCAACTTTGGGAGAAAGAATTAATGGAAAAACTTGCTGTGAAATAATTGTTTTTACACTTGAGCATTTACTTGCCTAGACAAAGGCAACAGAGGCCAGGACTCCCTGTGTTAGACTGAACTGCATAAACCCCAGAATCGTTGATGATTTATGTAGACCCTGTCAGTTCTTTTCCTTTCTGTTGGCAGCCATCAGCCCTTACCCCAAAGGAAAGCTCCTGGCCACCTTCCTTCTCAGCAAAGGGCTGTACTTGGGCTGACAGCCTCTCCCCATTGCGCTCAGGGTATGTGGCAGCCCTTTAAAAGTGCGGGCAGCCAGCCTGCCTGCCAGTGAAAAAACTGGGAGTAGGGGGAGCTGGCGCGCCAGTGAAATTGGGCTGGAACGGACTGTGAGAGCTCAGCCCAGCCCCTGCACCCCCCGCAATAAATAAATCCCTCTGTGTCACCATCCTGTCAGAGCAGGTGGCCTGGGGTGGATACAGATGTAAGGGAAATATTTTCAACCTCAAAGTGTATGGTGATTTTTAATGCAGAAAATATCTATTGAGACAGATACTTTCTCACAGACTTAACTGAGATAACCTATTTAGAAAAACAGATGATAACTTTTTAAGGGTCATTAATAGCGGGATGAAAATGGATGGTTTAGCTAAGGAGAGACTCTCCAGAAATCAGACTGCTGCTGCTCCTCTAATCAAATGCCCAGGTGCTGCCCTCTGGGCACCTGACTCCTGTTAGGCAGCGGGTTGATGAAAGGAAGCTGACTGTGGTCAAGGTTGGCATTTACCTACTGGATTGGCAGAGGCTCAGAGGAAAAGGACTGAGCTGCATACCCAGAATCCAGGTATTTATAAATACTTTTTGTGTGATTTTTCTGTCCCGATTTGACAGCAATACTTTCTGCTGTATAACTCCGCCTGTTCCAAGTATATTCAGAAATTATACTTAATTCAGAGTTTGCAGTTGTTGGACACAAATTTTCTGTGTGAAATAATATTCAGATTTTCCTGTAAGCTTAAAAATGGCATCTTTAGCCAGCACTTGTTACAAGTTTCTGGCTCAGTCCAGGATATTAGCATGCGTTTGACAGTAAGAAGACATTTGAGCTGGTGGCAGCACCCAGTCAGAAGGAGGAAACACTTTTAGCTAAATAAGGGTTCCCAAATACTTGACCTTGGACATGTGCTACAAACAGAACAGATATTGTGAGTAGAGGAAAAAAAAAAGTAAAAAATTCACTTAACTTTGCTGCTTATTCCTTGCTTTAAAATTTAGAAATACTCTTTTGGCTATAGGTCTGGGAAATGTATGATACCTTTTGTTCTAAACTGCATCAGAAATGAAATAGATCATTGGAGTTGCAAAATGTTTCTGGTTAGAAATTTGATTTAGAAAGACAGTACTGTGCATAGTATTTCTCCTAAAACTGAATGCAGAAGCTGGATGGCAATTACAAGAATTAGACCTGCTGGAGAAGGGTGGTTTAACCTGTAGCTGCAGTGGTAATTTTGTTTGCTATTAATTTTGTTTGTGGTTTTGGAGAGGCAACTGTTAGTATCCATTCTTATTTCTAGCTAATCAGACCAACACAAAAAGGTGGGATTTTGAAAAGGTGGCGGATATCTAAAAATGCATCTTGTGTTTTCCTTTAACTACCGTATAAGCAAGAGTTATGGTTGGCAGTGGGATGTGAGATGAAGGATATTGATAATCTGTACAGCACTACACAAGTTTTTAAAAGCAGACCTCCTGGTGCAGGTTGATCAGGTTAAGTAATTTTCTTCTAGAAAGCTATATGTCTGGCATTTCAGGAAGTAAATGATTTGGTGTGCAGGTACCCTTTGTACAGGATATGGGTTCTATCAGATGATTGCTGCTCTGGCGGACCCTTAGCACAGAATCTGAGACTGACAGGATTTAATGATAGAAGGAGAAAAGTCTGGAGATGTTAACTTACCTGCCTCCTTGTGGAAGGGTAAGAATCCTTTTCTTTAAGTGATTGTCATTGTGGACTGAATGTTTGGTGACTGATCACTTGTTGTCCATCTGCTTGGAGGCGAGATAGGAAAATCCTCCTTATATAATGCTTGGTAGAGGATTCCAGATCAAACAATTGCCTCTCAAGGCAAAGATTAAGTGTCCATGTAGCTGGGAAACCAAGCGATCACTTCTGATACTGCTTGGGCTCTAGACAGGCTGAATACTAATTTCAGTAACTTGGCTTAAGATCTGTGTTGGTAACTGCTTTTAAAGATGCTGCCTAATCCTTCTCCATGTTGCTCTGCATGGGCTTTTCTATATCGTTTCAGTTGTGGTGGTTTTTTTGTTCTTTTTTTGTTTGTTTGTTTGAAATTATGGGTGGGTTGAACAATGTGATCCTCTTCACACTGAAGGATTGATGACTTGCTTCCTGTAGGGTTGGGTGAGGCTGAGGAAAAATTCTGGGGGAAGGACCCACAAGTTCATGTGAAATCCTGAGACAAGTTGGATGAGAACATGGGTCAGTCCTGCCCCTCAGAAACGCTACAGAGACCAGAACTGTCCCCTCCTTTTCACTGATGCTGGGATGGCCAGGAAAATCTGTTACGCTTGTAGCAAGACGGATCTTGTGCCAGAGCGCGTGTTGCTGACTTATCTTGTGCTGTGGAGCTGTGGCTATCAGGACTTTTCACATACTCTAAATTTTACCTGTTATCTGTATTCCAAAGTTAACCTGCCTGTAAACAGAAAATTTTGTCCCAGTGTAAACCGTGGGAGTAATGCCTGGTAATTAGCCCCTTGCAGCTGGAGACTGGTACTGGTTGAGTAAGCAGTGCATGCAAACACCTCGGTGTTTTTCAGAAGGCCTTTGCCTTTTGGACTTTTATTTGACAAAAAGAGCCAGCATGATTGCTTGTTTAAAAAAGACAAAACCCACCAATCTCCCCCCCTAGAAAAAACCCTTGACGTTAGCTCAGCTAAAATAAATTCTGTAGGCGCCTAAAACCCAAAATGTAGACTGTTAAAGACATTGTGTGTGCTGAGCTCCCCTGGGACCACCGCAGCATTCCCCGAGAGCCATGCCCAGCACGGTGCAGACCACTCATGTCCTGTGCTGATGTCCTGTGGGGAGTCGTACGTAACATCGCCCTGCTTATCTTGCCGGCGGTGCTGAAACCGTGGTGTTGGCAGAAGACAACTGCACAGAAGGCTGCTCCCTCCATTACAGTTTTGCAATACCACCCAGAAAAATGGGGGGGACAAGGAGAAGAAAGGGAGAAAGTGCTTGCCTTGTACATTGAAGAACATCCTTCTCGCCCCTCCTGGCTGGGTGTTCGGGGCGCCTGCAAGCCTGTCCTGTCCCGCCATGGCTGTCATGTTCTCATACACTTCCTCCTGCTCTTCTGTGACAAGTACAAAGCTGCTCTGTCCCTGGCTGCTCTCAGGGAATCTCCCATAACCCAACCTGACTCCTTCCACCCCAGCCCCACTGCCACAAGTTCTTCTCACTTCAGCCCCTTCAGTGCGGTGTCTCCTGCTTGGCCAGTATTTGTGCCTGTCAGCCACACATCACCAGGGCACTCAGTTTTGGGTGTGTGTATGAAAGAGAGGGTGAATAGCAGCTCTCTTGATGCCACTGACTCAGCAGCTGTCACTACTGCTCTCAAGCTCTCCCCGTCTTCTGGCTTTGGCCAACAGGCTCTTGGCAGGCTGGGGCTGTGGCAGCTGCTGCTCCCATCTCCTCCTGTCACCGGCACCGCCAGGGCACTTCCAGCTCCTCCAGTCTGCTGCCGCCTGAGTCGTGGCTCTCAAATGGAAGGCAGCCAAGATACCATCCTCTACTCGGCCGCCTTACGTTTTAAGTGGTTTTCTGCTCAAATAGACGACTCCCAAGGCTCCTGCTTCTGGGATCTAGCTGTCCCTGTCCCTGCCGGCACACCATGTGCAGTGTGATCATGAAAGGACGCTTGCATTACTTAAGATTGTGCATCAAGCCTCTGCTGTGCATCAAAATACGGGGATGATTTAAATTCAGTTTACTGCAGGGGATGCAGAGGTGGGGTAAGGAAACTACCCTCCACTTTGTCTTCGTGGAAAAGTTCCAGTAGGTGTGGTAACAGATGTAAGTCTGCTGATTTGGAGAAATATGAGTGGTGCTACCAAGTCAGAATTTAGATAAGGGACCACAGGTTGGACAGGAAAGAGGCCATCTCGTGAGATATGTATTACTTGCTGGTGGGAGAAAACACAGATCTAGGCTCTCCCGTGTTTCATCACAATTCCTCAGGGAATGGAAGATGGCACAGTTCCTGCTGTGTATTAAAGAAAGCAAAGGAACACAAAATAAGATCTGAAAAGGGCCTGAAGTTATGGCTATGTACTATTAGCTTGTGAAATCATCTGTTGTTATAAAGATGAGAAGCTTTACCTCAGATATACTAACTGAAAGCATTCTTTCCATTCCAGAGAGGATAAACACACAGTAAGGATATAGAATATTTTGTAACGATACAAAAACCTATTAAGAAGAAACACTTTGTCTGAATTGGGTGAATAAAGCATTTTTACTGAAGAAAAATATATGTATGAAAAACTTCTGTGAAAGTCATATGCAGCATATGAGTAAGATCCTTCAAAGTACAGCTGAGACTGATGTATCTTCTTTGAAAGAAGAAAAGGCAACACAAAGGCGCACACTGCTTAGTCACAGAATGTTTACATCTTCCATTTTACAAAATAGCCATTTTCTAAAATGCTCCTCTGAAATGCCTGAGTAAAAGACGGTGAACCATAGTATCCCATCAGCAGCAGTTTATCACATCTACAAATCCGATTTAAATCTAGTTATAGTAGGAGTGTGAGACAATAAAGAACAGTGTAAGAGCAGTAAAAGGAGCTTCTAGTTGACAATGGATACCATATGTATTTCAAAACACCAAAATGAAGATAAAAGTCTTAAATAAAATTAAACAGTTCTGTAAATGAGTAACAAACACATCTAAGATAGCACACGAGTGCTCTTCTGTCCACTTGCCTCCTGGAAGGAATGGAGTGACTTGAGACTGCAATTTACAGGATTTTCTGTAGAATGGAGTTGGCAACTTCCAGGGTTTCATCTTTCACCAACACAATATCATAAGAGTCCATATATTTTTCCAAAAGCTCATCTACCTAATTGCAGAAGTGATAAAGACCAAGACCCAGTTAGTTTTAGAATTAATTATTGAAAGACTTTTTGTCATTAAAATATTGCCCAGTCTTTCCACCAAATTCAGGGAATGAGCCATACAAATATGTATTGCTCCTATGAGTGAATTCCCCAGGATGACAGGGTAGGAGTAGCCTGATATAACTGTGCATGCATTCCAGGATACAGTACCTCACATTTACTCTAGGATCTCGCACACAAGGATACTGAAAGAAAAACTACTTCCTCAGCTTCCCAAAAGGCAGAGAGAAATAGAAAACTGAAGTTTTCTCTTTCCTGAATGCAAATGGATGTGCATTGTAATTTAGCTAACAATCAGTTCTGTGTCTCCTCAAAAAAAAAAGAGGAGACTACTTAAATTTGTTATCTGGAAGATTATAATTTTGCTCAATTATTTATCCACTATTGATAGGAGGGGGAGGAGCCACGGGAACTTAAGAAAATGAATTTCTCTAGCCTCTGAATTTTACTTGTCAACAAAATACTTTTTTGGAAGCAGTTCCATACAAAAACCAAAGCAACTTACATTTGTGTTTTTGTAGCTTATAGGTTAGAAAAAAAATCGAGGCAAGAAATCCATGAAAAATGTTTGAAATCTCAAAACAAATATAGACCAAACAGTTTGGTATCTCAAGCTTAGTACAATGAACCTGTTTCTAACTTTACAGTATTTCACTCAAAGTTCAAAAGGCTGTAAGGATACTTACTTTATCATTGAGATAGCCGATCTTAAGGATGTGTTCAACATTTGCTACTCCATCTGCCATACTCAAGTCTCCTTGGGAATCTCCCAGTAGTATGATATTACTGTTGTCTTTTAGTTGTTTGAAGTACTCCGTATTCTTCAAAGCACCATCATGTTTGTTGTAAACATGAATCAATTCTCCTTTAAATCCTTTTAATATTCCCTATTAAAAAAAACCCCACTGAAGTTACTTCTAGTCTCATAAAGACAGGATAGAATCTAGAATGAAATAGGTGGTATTACTTTTGAACTAACATTTGACTATGTAATCTCTAATGATGAACAAGATAAATTACTGTTAAATAATGTAATGACTGTAACAGCGTTGTTAAGACTAGGCAGACTGCGATCCTCCCTGCTTTTGGAGGAGGAGTAGTGCTGTACTGCGCTGAGTGTGAGGTTGTCAGTAAAGGAAATGAAGAGTATCTTAGTCACACCACACTAACAGTGTTTGAACTGTTATCCTCTGCTTGTCTTTTTTTGTTTGTTTGGGTTTGGTTTTTTTTGTTTCCTGGGAGAGGGCCGAGTATGCAGTTCTAACTTTCGATATGGCAGGGTAGATGGCTACATCTGTTGCACTAAAATGTTCATCTTGTAGTGTATCTAAATAGCCACTGAATACCACAAACAGTCATGGAAAATAAGAATGTGTTATTTCATACGTACGTTTTCATCAAAATCCATGAAATTGGAAACCACTTTGACATTCGAATGGTAAACCCCAGCCTGGTGGATAACTTCCTCAAGAATGTCCCCGATCCCAGCAGAAAATATGAACACAGGAATATTATGTTCACTGAGCTTATCAAAGAAGTTCTCATATCCTTCTCTGCAACACAGAATGTAAATACAAATCAAATCTCAAATAAAGAAAGACAAGAAAGTATGAGTTTTCAGAAGACATTCCCATCATCTTTGGAAAATAAAATTAATTTTTCCTGAGCATTTCAGTTTATTCCGCCCCCCCCCAAAAAAAAACCCCATCTAACCATGTTTTAAAGATTTAAAAACACTCTCCCCTTCCCAAACACCCCAGTACAAGTGAACAACTAGTAGAACTTTCTCTAGCTACTATCAGGCTGTACATCTCCTTTCAATCTTCCTTGCTTAAATATTTGACCTTCTACAGGGTTATTACTATAAAACAAACTTTGTTTTGTTTTTAAATACTGAAAACATTTATTGTTGCCGTTTCCTGAAAGTTTTTTAGTTTTCAGTACCCAATCAAAACTATTTATAGTATTCCAAGAACAAGATAGTACTATCTCTACACACTTTCTCCACAGAGACATCGATGGGTAGAATTTTATGTTTTTAAAAATATATGAAAGCCTGTCAAGATTTAACCCATGTGGACTTGGGCTTTCAAGCAGGCAGAGATAGTGTGCTTGTCTGTTTTGCAAAAATAAAAATTTAGTCTGTATGATAAACAAACACTTCCACAATTTAAGTTCTAGCCTCCTGTTTCAGTAGTCCAAAATTTAAGGACAATTTTGGAGAACTTTAGAAGAGGTAGGAGCCACAGCACATTTCAAACAAGGATCTTTGCTGTCTTTTAAACTTATCTTTAGCCTTCCTCACAGAGAAAGAACAATATTTAATACAATGTATGGAACATATTCCTTAAGTCACTGCACTTTTATCTCAGATAAAACTATTATAGGGCATATTTTTCAAAGGAACTAAGTTGAACTCTGCATTCCACTTTAAAAAAAAAAGTCACCAGTGCAATTTCAAGAGGATGAAAGTTTACAGAAATGGAGCTTGTAGAGACGAGATTAGTTTCAGTGTGATCATTTAGCTACAACATATCAATAAAGTGGGAGCGTGAAGAGCTCACTATGTTCCAAGCCTAAACTCACTATGTTCCATTCTCAGAAATGTGGCTTTTTTCCCCCCTTTTATTCCCACACCCCCAATCTACAGAAAATGCTCTGAAACAGTATTGTGCAAATCAAAAGGAACTTACTTCAGCATAACATCAGATTCTTTCACAGTTTCTGCAAGCTTATCCTTTTGTAAGCCTTGTTCAATGAGTAGGGCATGAGATTTATTGTACCTAGAATATAAACAAAAAAATGGGTAAAAATTGACTTAAGATTCACCTTTAATTAAACCTTATGATGAAAAGCATCCTGGATGGTTAATTTTTGCTCATTCAAGTTAACAGCAAAGCAAAAACAGCTGTTGCACAACACTCAGAGATTAATTCAGTTAATGCGTTAGCTAAAAGCTAATTACTGCCAATAGTTTGCTTTTAAAAACTTATTAAATCTAATCTTAGTGCAATTTGAAAATGGGAGGTGTCTCTTACCATTCTACCATATATGGATATTTTTCTTCAATAGTAAGAGATGGATCAATTTCAATAGCGTAATAGGTTTCTTTCAGCTGCAATAACTGAAGGGGAAAAAAACCACCAGAGGTTTAATGTATTTTTATATAATAACACTTGGTATTTGATCTAACCAATCAAAAGAACTTTCTTCATTCTGATTACATTATTTAGATAAAATGGAATCTGAAATGCTCTTTGAACAAAGAGCTTGTAAATATATATCAGAAAAAAAAGTGTATGCTGTTAAACTGAACTACATGCATACATACAAATATTTCTGTACGCTTCTATTAGTGAAGGGATGTCTTGCAGTCAGTATAAAAGCTCAGAGAGCTTTAAGGATTTGAAAGAGTCCCTTGTCTTGTTGTGCTGCATAAGTCAAGGCATAGTACAGCAATGGAATAATAACAGTTGCCTGTACAACAAACCAATGGCTAGTAAGTTTTCTGTTTACCTTTTTCCGACATTCCTCTGTGATCAGCTTAGAGTTATCGATGATGTCTGGGGGTGTGGAAAAAAAAAAAAGCATTAAACAAGATGTTGTATTTCTTTTACTTTGCTCTACAGCACTGTAAATGGCATAGATGACAATGTTTGATGACATACCACTATGTTTCCTCAGAACTTTTCTTACCAGCAACCAGTAAAAGGCACATTTTCCTTCATGAGCATGAAGATGTCCTTCTCCTCATCTCTGACTCAAAAGGTCAATTACAAGCTCGCTTATCTGGTTCTTGAGATTTAACTGTTTCTGAAATCATCATGAGGCATCCTATGTGTTTTAGGATTTCCACTTCATTAGTAAATGGATTCTCTTTGTTTGTTCTAAAAGGCTACAGGATAAAAATGTCAAGAATTCTGAGGAGTTCGCTATCTGGTTCTTGCAGGCATCAGGACTATTATGGGCTCTTACAAAATAAAAGTAATGCTACCATATCTAGCCACCAAAGTCTTATAGTTCAGAACTTAATGTTATAATTGCGAAAGACAACTGGTTTTAATTCACATAGATTGTGGTTAACATATATATATAGAAACACATATAGACAGTCACTAGAATACTTCTTCATTAGGATGTACAGGTTAGGTAACAAGTCAATACAAAATCTCACATATTAGGGAAGAAAATGGATAGAAAATTAAAATCTAGGAAAAACTAAAACGAGTGAACAAACCAATCCATATTAAAAAAAAAAGTACTCACTATGACAAGTTGGACATCTTTTTCCATTGTAGGAAAATCTACTTAATGTCATATCAAAATCTGTAATTATCTATTTAAGGAAAGAAAAAGCAAAACTGTCTTACAACATGGAGGGACAAAATAAAGAATGGCTAGAAATTGTGAATGATCAACAGTAGTTGCAGCTGAGTAGAATGTGTCACAGATGTGCCTCTATTCTATTGAACTATTGTAATATAAGCTAGAATATCCCATAAGAATAACTTTTTTTCCTAACAAAATCTTTTTTCTAATTCCTTTGGTCAGAATATTTCCTGAAATTACTAAGCTTATATGTTTATATAATCTGCTTAACTAGTATCTGTCTGAATTACAATCAACAAGGGCTATTTAAAGAGTTAACATGTTAGTTTTGGAGGTGTCTTGAAGGCTGACTTCAGTTATATACATATATGCATAATACTTTTGGCATAGAGCAATAATCAGATGATTGCTTTCATTCCAAACTGGTTACACCTTCTACTATCTTTACCTGAAGTTTGGCAGCTCCACCTTTGATGAGGCCACAAATAATCTCCTCTACTCTCCCTGGGTCCTTAATATGGACAGTCTTCTTCTGAAATTCTGGCATCTATGAACAAAGACAGAAGTATGCTTACAGAGGAAAACTTACTAGGTAATACCTGCTATCCACCAGATTGGAAGCTCTGCATCTATGAACAGTTTCACGTGACATCAAGACATGCTCAGGACAGGAAGGCAAGTTAAGAGTAAAAAGAAACAAAAAAATATTCTGGATGTACTAACTGATGAGTGCATACAGTTCTGTTTGCTTTAAGCATCTGTTTTCATTTCCTTTCCTAATATCAAATTATTAAATAAGTTGACACTCACAGAAAAGATAATTGTATTTGTAGGAAATAAGGGAGATATATAGAAACAGGATGTATGGGATCACCTTGTGGTTCAAATATGTCACTGAGAGATAGTGAACTTTAAAACTAGCTCTTTATGGAACTGATAGGCCCTTAAAGTGTCAACATAAAGAATACAGGCTGATTTTAGACACCCATTGTTTTGTTGAGAATGCTGCATGTGTCAACCAAGTATTCCAATACAAGGCTGTATAGTAATTCCTGCTCCCTACCCAGTCCATCAATCATTTTCCACTACCTTTTGAAATAACACATGCTATCACACCACATACTCCTTTTGAGTGAAGAATATTTCTTGAATATTATGATAAATGCTCAATTTGGTAAACAAGAAAAAAAACCCACTAAAACCACACCCCTTCCCCCCCAAGCCCTTGCTTACTCTCAAAGTTTCTCTTCAGCCTTGCAGAAATGGTAAAAGAACTACTCATTAATTTCCCAATTTAGTGTGCATTTCCTTCCTTTATAATAATGTATGGACTCTTTCTAACTCAAAGGCAATCAGACATTTGCCCATGTTTACATGGGCATCCCATTTCTCGAACCAGAGTTCTCACATCACCCATTGTTAATAAGTCACACAATAGTCTTTCTTCCTGCTCTTGATGCTACTAAACCTTCTGTTTATTAGTAACAACCGACTTGCAATCAAATTGCAATTAGGTTATCATTTAAGAAAACAATGACATTTTAAAGTCTTGCAAAACCGTGTTTTTTAATGGAGAAGACACTTGTATGTCAGGGAGAAGAAGGAGCTGGAGGTCCCTTTAAATATCAGCTCTAGCCCACTGTGCCCTCAGGTAAGTAAGTAAGTAAGCTATTGTAGCTACATCATTTTCAGCAGGTACTTGTGTAACTCATTCTTCAAAACCTCCACTTACATATTCCTCACTTTCCTCAACCATGTATTTTACTGCTCAACTATGTTCAGAAAAGTTTGCTTAATCTCTACTTATCTTTCCTTACTGGAATTTTAGGTCATTCAACTTGGAGGAAAGTATGCCTTTTCACAGGTGCTCACTGGCTATTTTTCCCTTCTTCTTGAACTAAAGAATCACAGTTTATTCACTCTTCTTTTGCAGAGCACTATTTTTCAAACCTCTGACTATTCTTGACATTGTCCTGGCCCATCCATTTGAACCATATAATTCTTGAAACACAGCATCAGTAACTGTGCATATAACCTTTCTGTTCTGCTCTGAAAAGGCCTCAGCTGAAGGGGCACTTTGGCCTGTCTTCAGATAGTATCTTTGCATGTACTTTTGAATACACTTACGTTGTTAGCAGTAGTATGGTGATAATGATCCAAGTTCAGTTGATAATGACCAAATATTCTTCAGAATTACTTCTAGGCAGAAACAGGTAGTTGCACAAAGTGTTAAATTTTACATTTAGTTTTGCTGGATTGTATCTTTTCTTCCACATCAGTGCTCGCATTTTTCAATATAACAAATAATCCTAATTCCCAGTATGCTTACTGCTACTTTTTGGCCGATATCCTCAAAGCCACTAACGAAAACAGAAAATATAAATCCTTCTAAAACCCTAATCCTGAGTCTCTGATAATTTTCCACCCATCCAAAAAGTTTCACCTGTACCAGAACATCGTACCAAGTTATTTACTACTTCTTTGCTTTATAAATCTCTTAAAGAAACAAACTGGATTAATTTCACTTAGTTTGGAAGATTTAAGGTTTTCCTTTGCCATCCTTTCTGTAAAAGTGGCACCTCCTAAACCAAGATAGTTGTGTTCTATGTCGTTGCAGTGCCTTGCTACTTTTATTACAATAGGAAATTCAAAAAAGGTACATTAGGATTGGCTTCCAACTTCAGCTACATCCCACAGTGGCAATCACTGAGAAAGCTAGTAAGTGTTAAAAATAAAATTTCTGAAAATGAACCATAAATGAATTCCCTAATCTTTTGAGAAATACATTTACAAAGTATTTATAGGTATTTGTTCCAAATTATCAGCAGATCTAGCTTCACAAAATATTAACAATCTGTAACTTTTCAAAGGTGTTTTATGGTATTTCTTTTGTATGTTATATAGTGCTGGTAAAGAAAAGGAACCTTGCTACTTGTTTGGTGGGTAGATTTTTTTTTCCATTGCAAAAAAAGAAAGCAATTTGATTCTGTTTTGTAATTTTTTCACTGTAAATTGACTAATCTAATTCCTTTGACTTTCAGGAGGCAAATTATATGTGTATTTTTAGACTTGGAATGCAAAAATTAAACAAAGTGAAATCTAAATGCATGCTTTTGTAAGAAATAGTTCAAACATTATTTGGTTTACTTAGATACTAAGCAACAGACTTCCTCCTGTAAATGGCTTAAACAGAACAGATGTTGGGGGAGATGGAGAGATCAGAGGGAGAGACTGTATGAGGAAAGATGGATTGCTTGCTACTGTTCTATTTCAGACTGAGGCCTTTTGTAACTTTCTGAAACAACCTGAGGAAAAACCTCCTTAGTAAACACTTTAGTGGATGATGTTAAACAAGACATTGCTTAAGATTTTAAGTATGATGAAAGCTTCCTGCTTTGATGCTGTAAACTGATACTCCTACTCAAGATCGGTTACTAAGGTTCATTTATTCCTTTCATTTTTACACAAGAATTGAAGTCAGATGAAGAGTATTTTTATTTAGGGGAAAAAAGTCTTCTGCAGTGAGTATAAAACAGACAATTTCAGTCTCACAGGCACTTTCATAGGCAAACCCAAGTCTTCATTATGGATATGGCATCTGATAAAGCCTCAGACAAACGTGGTTTGTTGAAATAGCCACTGTCCCCATCACTAGTTCCTTGTATTCATATTTGCAATAGAACGTTAAGTAACAAATCTTTTATTTAGGCTTTATCAGTATCATATTAGAAGTAACTGAAACTGTAGTAAGCAGTCACTAGTTGTCTGTCAAACTCTCCTTCAACGTCTTACACTTCATCCCAAGCTAGCTGTTGTTGTTCTGTTGCATACTTGCCATTCTTCACAGTTGAAAGAGACAAGCAGATTCAAGTTGGAAAGAACGGATAAGACAGATGAAAGAACAAAGAGTGAAAAAATGCTAATAAGAAAAGTTCAGTCAATTTGATAAAACTTATGTTTATATTAATTGTTTAAGAAAGTTCTAGGAGTCAACTCAGTATATACAAAAGGTACAAAATTCTGGTGCACCAGTTGACTGGGAAGAACACATACGGAGAAACAGGCAAACCAAAATCTCCACAGCATTGAACAAAGGCAAGAAAGCTTTTCAGAGCAAGGAGCTTCTACATACAGAACTAAAAGTATAAAAGCACAGGAAAAGGAATTAGTATTTCATTGTGACATCTGAAAGTACATCATATTGAATCACTTAAGTGCCCCCATGTATTCCGTCATTTTACAAAAGTATAAGAAGTTTGCGTTCTTACCAAGGACATCTATATGTTACTGAAGTAGCTCAGAGACTAGTATCTCTTTTAAAACACATTTTGAAAGATGACAACTCCTGAACAAAATTTGTGGTTGGCATATACACTGGCCACAAATACGTTTAAGTTTCCAGTCTCTGACATTTTTAAGGAGCCTTCAAAGACAAGCAAGGAGAACAAAACTGAAAAAGATTATTTTGAAGGTTGAGCTTAATTGGATTTATGAAACGGAAAAAAAATCTGCTTGTTTGTGATAGCAGGTAACTGGAATAAGGATGTAGGAAATTCTTTTGTAGCTAGCAATGTTATAGTCATACCTTGATGAATGAACAGTAATGGATTCACGCAGGTTTGGAAATCCCCCAGTCCTACAAACCACAGAATGGGTCATTTACAACAAGGATAGTTTTGAAATTTACAAGCCTATTTAGTACATAAGTCTGTGTAGCTGGGTTAAACAAAGAGGAAAAGTATTTACTATAAAGTCTATTGAATTCTAGTTTTGAAATACAGTTTCTTATATATAATTGGATAACAGGAAAGCAAACAGCTGCTTTTATGTTGTATCTGGGTGCTGCTTACATATGTTGTTTTCTTAGTATTTGAAACTGTATATCTAAGTGCATGCTGCATCAGTTAGATTATGAAACAAGAGTTGGTGATAATCACTAAAACAAAAGGCAGGTATCTAAGTGGATTCACAGCTCCTACAGTAGGCATTTCTGATCAGGTATCCTAGAGAATTAATAACTGATTGTGTGCATGAGGTGTAATGTCATATTCTGGAGTTAAGATTATATTGAACTTTTGAATGTACTGAGCGGTGGAGGTAGAGCCGTTACTTCCTTCCCCCACCCACTGAAACAACAACCTAAGTCCCTATGATTAAAAAAAAAAAAAAAGAGAAAAATATAATAATGTCCACTTGGAGAATAATTACTAAAAAGAAACTTCATATAAAGGACAATGGGGGACCTTATGTTGTTTTCACTATTGGTAATTTTAAATTGGGAAGGCTGAGCAATGAATGACTTGCTATCTGGCTCATTTCACAACCAAATCTAGACACACAGACTGAAATATTACTAGTAATAACAAAAAATATAAGAGTTTACCATCATATTTCTTCTAAGTAATGCTTTGAACAAGGACGTAAACAAAATGGGTAAAGTATTTTTATACCGATACCCTGTAAGCCTACACTACTTGGCAAATACAAAGGTCTCTGATTTTATGAAGACTAATGTAGTATGTATGCCTCCCAAAAACCACTGCTAAGAAAACACCCTGCATTATGGGTGGATAAAATTTTAAGGAAACTTCTCTGTAATTCTCAATGATTGACAGAGCACTTTGTTAGGTGTCAGTAATTCTAAAGAATAAGGACTGTTCTCGCACTTACAAATGTATTAAAAATATTCCACAAAATTTCATATTACTATAATGTCATAAAAGAGATAGGACAATGACTAAGAACTAGCAGTAATACTATTGACAGTATGTGATTTTCAATTATCATACCACTTCTTTTCTTCTACTTTGCTGGTAAACCTACCTTAGACTAGACTAGGTTCCAAACCTATTAATTTTTGATATAGAGGACACACAAGGGTGGGCTGGAAGGGAGGGGGGACTATTAATGTTATTTCTGAACAAGCAAAATGCAAATCAAAGTGATAAAATGGATAGAATTCAATTATTTGTAAATTTTACTTCTAGTCTATGGTGATAGCTTACAGATAAAAGAGTATAAACCAAGAATAAATCACATTTATTTTGGGAACTGCAAATGTTCAATTCCAAGGTCTGAGACTAGCTATCACATATACTTACTTATGGACATGTACCAAAAAAGGCAGGGCACGGCTTCAGTGATAGCTGTGAATTTTGATACCCTGGCAAGCTACAAAAAAATTGGTTTCAGGGTTCTTGGTGGCAGAAAGTAAGTTTGGTGGCCTTATAAAGAAAAAAGGGCATATTCCTTAATTTACATTTTCATCTTATTTTCTGCTCTCTTTTTCTTTTTGATATTATTACAGAACATTACTTTCATCTACTTACTCTTGAAAACAAAGCTTAGTAAAAAAACTTTTGAAAAGCATGCAAACTTCTTCATGTAACTTCTGCTATTTGCAATATATGAGTTGCAAGAAGAGGAGGAACTGTAACAAAAACCACAGAATGGGAGTGTGTGTGTGTGTATCTTTTCCTCCACATATATATGCTCACATATTTATAAATCAAGTTTTGGCTTTAATTCACACAATTTAAATTTTGGTCCATGAGTGCAACAAAGGTTTCTCTTAGCAGCCCCAGCTGTTAGTAGCCTTTTAGACAGGAACATTGAAAGCTACTGGTCGTGAGTGTAGTCACATCAGTGACTCCCATTATGTGCAGCTAGTCAGGAGAACTGCACTAGTGATCACGCACTCCGCTAGCATAACCTGAGCTCAGGACAGATATTTATTAATTACCAAACCAAAATACATAGTATGTTTTATATTCATATGATGTAAACTCAAATATGGTAAGAAATCCTCAGTAACTAGTAGTTACCAAATTACTCTTCTGGTAGTTTTGCCAAGAAATAGCCTTAGGACTACTTAGCTAGAAAGTAATGTTGTTATGGAAATGAAACGAGAACCTTGAATATCTTCACAGTTGCTTAATAACATGCTGCAAAACTGGATACCCAACACAGGTTATATAAAATAACTGGAAGTGGCTTCACTACCTAAGCTATTTTAAGAAATGGAATAGGATGCATACTAATAATATTTTTTTCCTGTTTTATTTTAATTATTTATTATTCTCTTTTTACAGTAAATGGGCTGGATTTTGGTATTTAGTTTGGTAAAAAAACCCATATAAAAATCTGGAAAGAGAGCGTTCACAGAAAACATGACAACAGCATTTCCTCTTGTGGTTTTAAAGGAGAGTACCTGTGCGTTGAGCTTAGGGCACTCCTGATTCTTCTGTCCTTGATTTTGTCCTACTGCAACAGCATAGGTGGCAAGCAGAGTCCAGAGATGCAGGGCTTGCATACAGGCTGCCAACAAAAACCAACCAAATCCTTTTAAGAATTGGTCTGCTATATTATGTAATCTTTGCTATTTTTGAAACAAAGGGAGACATGCATGGTACTGTGCTATGTCACTCTGAAAACACCCACGCTTAAGACTACTCTGATACATATGTAAAAGTAGAGGAACATTTAAGCTGAATTTACCTACTCAATAAAAACTGGTACATATATTTTTTCCTTCAATGCTGTTGCCAATTCTGTGCTATCAAATTTATATTTTAAAACCACAGTTTGTCACAATAAACAACTGTTAGTATCGCCTGAGCTCGTAACCCTGGCTTAAAAATGCAGGCAGAAGACAGTCAATACTGTTGACAGAAGCTGTGCACACTTACCAGAGGGTTTTGCAGGAGCAGCTGCAGAAGCAAAAGAAAATTCCTCTTGCTTGAGAAACACTAATATAGGAGCACAAGGTGCAGTTGAGGGCGTTTCCAAATACAGCCTGACTAATCCCCGTGCAAAACCCCAGGGTCCTGTGACGCACGCCAGCAATGCCCAGCAGTTTGTTATGCTAGGCAGCGCAGGCTTACAGCTGATCAGCTGCTGTACCAACAACAAAACCTTTGACCTTCACTGAATGGACAGCTTTCATGGATGCAGCGGGCAGACTTGGGCCGCTCTAACAGAGGAAGGCACTTATTTTTCAAAGCAGAAGTTTACTACTTGTTTTTCTTTTTAACCCTTTTACAAAAGCTTTCCAAGTATTAGAGGATTTCCTGTTGTAGAATGCCCCGAATTTCTTACCGCTCATTGACACAGTCTCTTTAATGTTTACAAGGGAACAGGTTTATTTGTGTAGAAGCAGCAAATTAATTAATTAATCATTACATTGACTTCAAATATCTATGTGATACTGAAACAGGAAATCAAGGAGGCTTGTTTGTCAGGATTTTTGACAGACAAGGCAACTCAACATGCTTTCAGAAGTTTGTCATTAGGCATGTTGCTGAATCAAAGACAGTAAGTAGGTGACACAGAAGATGTTTTTAAAATGAATCTTTTTTACTATGAGAGGATGAAGTAAGTATTGTCTAATCATATTTACATTTTGAAGTTGTGTAAATACTTGGAAGTGTCATGTGAAGTTAACTCTTGCTATAGCAACAGTGCAAGCTTCCCTGTACTATCCCATAATTCATGTCCAACCTCAGGTTTATGATCACTATTTCAGGCAGCCAGAACTAAATACAAACATCAGCCAGTTCATACGTGGCCATGAATGTAACCAGTGCAATCCTCAGAATTGAAGCAAGAGCAGGTTGTTAGTGTAGCATATACAGAACCCCTAATGCTATAAAAACCCCCACATTACCAGGACTCTAGAACCTCATTAGTCATGAAAATTTCCTTTTAAGGAGGATGTGCTGTTTTTCTACACTTAAAAAAAAAAAGCAATAGACTTTTTCTGAATGGTACAGTGGTTCCATATGTCTGCATTCCAACTGTATGCCAGTATGTACTGTCAGGATTCCTCAGACTCTGACCTACACACAGTACTTTCATTTTTTCCATTTGTGTTCTCTGTGTTTTGACCCCATGAAACAACTAGTGAATACTTCAGCTGATACAGAACATGCAACTTTCATCAACACTCATCCTCTTAGAATTGATCAAGATCTGCCAAAATGTACACGTTAAGGTCTGCTGTATGCTGAAGTGGCAAAATAGCTGGAAAGGTATGTTCAGAATATAACATAATCCCTGCAAAGTCTATGTACAGTAAATTGAATTTAGCGTTGGTATTTGCCAGGATTCATAGCTCCCATTAATCTACTTGTTATAGCATTTGTACACTGTTGTAACAGGTAACATACAAGGAATATTACCTTTTGTAGTATTTTAATACAGTTACCATGCTTTCAGTTAGTAATATCTCCACAATAATGTTTGGGAAAGCTATGTATAGTACAGTATCTTTAATAAATATGAATTGTTTGTACAACAAAAAGCTGTAGCTTATGTCAGTGCTGGATTTTCCAATTTTAAAAAGTCTTATGAACAATGAAGTAAAACGTGCTTGCTAGATGAATCATGTAGTTCAGGTAAAGGCATCACTCTATACATTCAATCTGCAAAGTACCTGTCTTTGAGCTTTTATATATTTCAAAGGTGACAATGGTACTGATATAAATGAGCCTTGTGAACCTCAGAGGTGAGAGTGGGATGTGGTAAGTGGTGGGGCTGGCCTGTTAAAATTCTGATACTTCTCTGATGCAATTCAGTTAGAAAACTAATTCTAATGCTAGCAAGAATTTAAAGAAAGTTAGCTTGGTCTTTATGAAAGTTGGGGAACAAAAAAAAAAAAATTGTTTGTTTAGTGGTTGGGTTTTTTTTTTTTTTTTTTTAAATCTACATACAATTTAAGATTGAAGAAAAGAGTTGCAGAAATTAAGGACAACTTTTACAGACTAATTTTTGGTACACCAGACTAATTAGAAAGCATTTTAAATGAACGATTACGGTGTTAGTGAAAGAGATAGAAAATGACGTAAGCAAAATCTATGTAAACATTAATACAGCCAACACCTAATTCTCAGAAAAACATCATACTTTCACTTTAATGAAAATGCTGCACATAAAACTCATCTACAAAACAAGGAAGACTGTCTTTGCAACTCTAAGAAACCTTTGTGTCACACACTTTAATTACAATAGCTGCTACTGACCATGTTCTGTCACTGCTGATTTGAGTCAGCTGAGCATTTTTTTTACAGTGTTTAACTACTGGTAAGAGATGAATTAAAATTACCACCTCCCTTTTATAAAGAGAGAAACAAAGTCCAGCATGACACTTCTACTCTCACAATACTGAAGGTCACTTAAATATATTTTAAGAACCATGAGCTACAGAGGTATAGCTGTTTCAACAGATAGGTTCTATTTTAACCTTTTTGCTTTGGCTGAGGGCCATATCTTGACTGCAGAATATCCAGAAAAAGAAAAAAAAAGAACAAAGCTCAAAATATTAGATGATTTGTCATTTATATAAGACTAGGAAAAGGGTCAACTTTATATAGTAGTTTGGCACAGGCACTTGGTTTGTAGAGATTCTGGATGCTTTCAAAGAGTATGAAGCACTGGAAGCTTTAGTCTGAAGCAAAGAAAAACTGGTTCTACTGGTCCTTACGTGCCTCTACCCTAAGTTGCACCTATTTGTGGAAAGAAATTAACACTGCCCAAATAAGTTAGGTAAGCAGGTAAGCTGAAGTGTGTTTTTTTTTTTTTTTTTTTTTTAAGTAAAAAGCTGAATATATTAACTCAACTGACATCAGCTTGTAAAGATCAAGAAAGACATCATGTTTAAGAGTCATCTCTGTTCATCAGAATTAGAATATTTGCTACAAAAATTAGAGGTGACTGAATCCTTTCTACGGTATAAACATTAGCTAGTAGCTTTTCATGACCTTAACTACCTTTTACTCTTGTTTAGCGAGCCTACTACAACCAAACAACTTTGAATATATCCACAGATATTTAGCTTATTGCCCAACTCTACTTGAGCTATACCTTGTTTTATTGCAGGGATCAATTTTAAACATTAAGGAACTGTACTTGTTTTCTAATTTTGCTTTTGTAATAAGTCTATTTAGTACCTATTTTCCAAAGCCGACTACTTGATATAATCTCCATAAGACACTGCAAGTTAACTGAACCTTAGCACTCAAGTACCAAAACCAAGCAGAAGAAAGGAACCAACATAAAATAATTTAATTGAAACATGATTTTTATTCATGCCCTAGTGAACTGAGTTAATGAGCGGCATACTGGCTCCATTTTAGTGTATTTGTGACAATTACAAGGAAAATAAGATAAATGTTTAGTCTGGGGTAAAGAAAGATTTAGAAGGATGCCTTGCAGGAATTTTGGAGTAAAAATGCTATCCATATTTACAGCTGGTATGATGCAATACAGTCATATTATTTGTAAATGAGTGTGTGTGTATTACACAGATGACTCCTGAGAAATGTGAGAGATTCTTTAGACAGAAAGAGCTTGAACAGCACTTGCTATGGAAAAGTGCTAAGAACATATTAAAAGACTGAATTTATTGTATTGTGATAAATCCAGAGAAGATACAGACTAAGAAGGTGAGGGTCTTAACCTGAACAGTTTTAAGACTCAGCAGTACCATTTTATCTGAGAATTTGTCTACTCAGTTATCATATTTTAAAAAGGCAAAAATAAATGCATGCACATAACAAATCAGAGGCAGTAAACACTGTATCACAGACATTTTTAGCAACTTTATTTGCTAGAGATTTTCTAGATCTGATCAGAGATCCATCCTTCTTTACAATACAAGAGAAAGCCGGTGATCATCTATAGTCTGACCATTTATGAGTGTACTGAACACAAAATTATTAGTGCTAACACATACACTCAAACATACAAAGAACAGCTAAGCTTCTTAAGAATTTTTTCTTGTTTAATACAACAATCACTATGATGCCGCACTCAGTGAAAAATGGTATCTTGATAAAACCACTGTCGTTCATTAAAAAAATAAAGCTACATAAAGATGCATTTTAATTCAGTGAGACAACTGCATGTTTTAAGCATGGGGTAGATCATCAGTTTCACTAGGACGAAGCAAAGGTTTTACGCAGTGGACAAGAACAATGATTTGCTTATGTGAAGGTCATGCAGTGAGATAAATGATTCTGGTTTAATGATCTCTCAAGGTGGTTATTGTATGAAAGTCTATGAGGTCAGAATTAGAAGGTTTTTTTTGGTGTGGTGTTTTATTTTTAAACCAGTTTCTGCAGTTCTGTAAATCTGAAAGGAACAGAGTTTTTAGCGTAAATTTGAAACATGTAGGAAGCTATGACTTGCAATTCTATATGGAATTGATTGTTCAGATGAGAGAATAAAAGAGACTGCAGCATCTTTGTCTCTTATGCATCTTCCTCTTGTGCTTACAAAAACACTCTAAAAGTAGAGATCTCTGCTGGTGATAAATCAACAGTCATTTTGAATCTTACAAGAAAGTAGGAATGAAGGCAAGCCAAATACATTGCTGACTTGGTATCTTGAAGCCCAAGTAATGGAACATAGGTTTTGATGGACTTACACGTTAATCAAAGATATATTTCTCTAACACAGAGATATTGTTACACATTACAAAACTCAGAAAGACTGGAACAACTGTGGCAATAGAAGTTGACATTGTATGCAATATTTAAATCCTCTACAGAAGTCTATGAAGAACTAATAACTAGGGCCTGAATTTCCAGTATTTCATGTGATCTCTTCCTGTCAAGTTATTACTCCAGGCAAAAATTTAGTCTCTTTCTGAGAGAATATATGGGGTACAAATGATACAGAACCAGTTCTGAAGATTCTGGGATTGCGTGAATACAGCTCAGGGCAGGCATCTTTTGCCTCTGATTACATATTAGGGGAATCACTTCATCTCTGTGCTTTGCTCCCACTCTCACTTTGGAGACAA